ATTAATTTTTTTCACAGTTCATAATTCTCTAACTAACTACACTTTATATTAATTATCACGTTTTTTTTGGCTCAAATATGATATGCATTTTCTTATATCATATGCCCAATTAAGTGGGAATAAATATTTAGTCTTTACATAGAAATGATATTTTAACTAAACATATACCCAATCACACAGGTGCATTCTAGTACAAGTTAAAACAAAATGTTAACTTTTTTGTGCAAAAATAAAAAAGAAAGATAAACTCAATATGCTTTAACAGTGGTATGTAGGGTTGTATAAAGTTTGGTCTGGACCGTAATCAAATTGGACCAAACCACATTTTAGCGGTTTGGTTTGGTTTACGATTTGTAAAAATACAGTTTGGTTTCGATTTATTTGTAAATACGATTTACGATTTGGTTTGGTTTTTCAAAATTATAAACCAAACCAAACAGTAAACCGTATTTTAATATTTATATAATTTTAAATAAATTAAAATAGTTATTATATATATATATAAAAAAAAATCAAAATACAACAGGGTATACGAGTATACTACTATATGGTTAGTAGGTAAATAAAAATATGTTGATGTTGGATGAGTGCTTGGACATGTGGTAATACTGTTGGCCTGCTGTGAGCCCCTGATGTTATCAATCTTGTCATGTTGCTGCCGATTTGTTGTTGTCAATTAGACATACGTATAAATTATAATAATGACTATAATGTATTATGAATTTATGATGATAAATTGATTATTGTATTATGTGTTAGCACTTAGATTGTTATTTTTATTGTAAATTTGTAATACAATTTAATCCGTTAGGTTAATTGTTTAAACTTTATTATAAGTTAATGATGTGTTATTTGGCAATTTTTACGGAAAAATGATGTCTCATCATAAATCGCAAACCAAACCGCACCAAACCGTATTATTACGATTTGGTTTGGTCCGGTTTCAATACTAATATGGTTTGGTTTGGTTTGAAAAATTGACCAAATTGTATTTTGCGGTTTGGTTCGGTTTGAACTCAAACCGCACCAAACCAGACCATGATCACCCCAACTTGTATGCGAGTATCGAACTTTCAAGCCATAAAGTTAGATTACTACATGATGAAAACATTCAAAAACTTACCATGTTAATGACATCTAGCCATCTAGGTGGATCAATTTAGTTGGCATGGACCTAATATGCACTAGAGCTTTAATGATAAGAGGAACAATCACACTATATATACGTATCCCTATTTTCCTAGTCCTAGAGTCGGTCCATAATCTCATCAAATTCCGTCGTTTGACAAATGAGGAAGCTGGTCCAAAAAACAAAGTACTGTTAGAAGTGGACCAATAACTTATTAGAGCAAAAAACTAGGGAACAATTTAGAGCCTCATCTTTCCGTCCTCCAGTCCTCCACTACGAATGCACCAATTCATATGAAGAGACCTATGCAGTTATGCTGTTATGTGCCACCAGGTGCTACGTCACCACTAAGAAGCTTTGGTCCTAATTGCACGTTTGATGGGTATAGAGGGATTGGTAAGGTAATAATAAGACAGAAATTCGCAACGAGGGATATTATCTATATATTCCCGACTTTACCGTCCACGTTAGAAAGGTTATTTTTAGGGGAAGAAAGTATGATTGAACCTCATCGCTAAAGTGTAGTTGGGATATAAGTATATAACCATTACAACCTTGATTTCGTGAGATACAAACCCTAGCTTCATCACAAAACTAGATAATTCATTAAGCAAATCTAATAAATCACCATTTGATAGAAAGAACAACATTTCCAAAGTCTACTAAAAAAATCCAATGAATAATGTTAGTGTTGTTAATTTTTAAGGTGCATTTTAAGATAAATTAAGAAAAGATTGTGTATGTTATATTAACGGCTTTATTGTATACTTCATGCTATATATGAAGTATATGGCTTATACTGTTTACATTTTCTTATTCATACTTACAATTCTTGTTTGTTAAAAAAAAAATACATACTTTCAATTCAATAGTTGCTGTTTAAAAATATTGTATGTGCTCATAATTTCCATTTAAAAATTCGTAAGAACTATGTATACTACCTCCGTTACATATTATGTACAATTTTTGGATATTATTTGCAGATAAAAAAAATTCAAAAGTTGCATATAATATGTAACAGAGGTAGTATGAGTACGATTTAAAGTTCTTGATCGAAGTATTTCAATTCATTGCATGTTTTGCTGGTATCTTTCAGTAAGACAGATGTGAAGTAACTTGTAGTCCACGATCTGCTTGCCATCGACTGCAAATTACAACTTCGATTTAATGCACACTCTCACTGATGAATTAAACAAGGAATGAATCTTCTGTTTGTTTGTATCTTCCACGACTCTTTCTATATATGGATCCTCAGTTGGCTTGCATAGTGTAATAGTCTAATAGATATTATATACTCGCCAATTATCTCTAAACACATTATATTTTCTTGTAAAAAAAGGCCAGCCAGTTAGGTACAATACATACAAAATTTCAACATTTGTTTATTCTTTGTTCGGAATTAATAATCATGCATGTTTATAATTTATTATGAACAAGTAAAGTTGATAACGTACTACGTAGTACTTTATCTATCAGACATAAGTGCGGTGTAATCCCCCCGTTTGACTGCCCTCCCACGTACCTTGCAACAAAAAAATTTATCAAACATACGTATTTGCTATTAGTTGATACAAGTAGAATAAAAATCATTAATTAAGAATGCATGCTGAAACTGACTAAATATATTGAAACACTAAAAAAAAAAAAAACAGGTACAAACCAAGCGTAAGGAACTACATTTAATTATTTATGCATCCAACTTCAAGATGGGACAACACTTAGGTTAAACTACTTAGTTACAAAAGTTTTACTATGCTGCATTTTAGTTTGAGTACTTATTAACTATTCATCTCATATTCTCATTCCTTATATATTGACAACAAACCAAATTTACTAGTTTCATTCTATATTAATTTCCCCCATTTCTTGTAACTAAAAAATGCCAAAATGAGTAATAATACAAATTAAAAACTATTAATAGCGGATCATTTTGTTCTCTCTCTAAGTTTTCTTCTCATCCTTTGAATTTTTTTTTCTCCTTATCCCCTTTCCAAGGCCCATCCAATTGCTATGGTACCGTCTCCCTCCCTTCTACTGTTGTAACCTGTGCATTGTATACATAGATCATGAGCCTGAACAATAATAAAGACAACAATACAATTAAATTAGCATATGGTGTGATTTACGTGTGTACATAAATTACATATTAGACATTTGTCTTCAAGTTGTTGTCAACGATAAATGTGTACCACTACATTTGAAGAACACGTTAAAAATTCCTTTACTAGCATGGATAATCGTAGTTCGTAGATGTTATATTTAAGACCAGATATTTCCTACATGAAAAAGTCCTCTTCTAGTAAGTTAGCTTCAAATTGAAAATAACCTTTGTTTCCAAGATTAACAATATTTAATTAAGCTTAAAATTTGAAGTATGTAACCAATTATGAATGATTACAAAACACATGTCACAATCAATTCAAGTTAGCACAATTTATAGGTAAAGCTCGATTTTCCAAATAATATATTAGTTGGAGCAAATATTGTTTTGTGTAGGCTTTTGTATTTCAACTAACATCTTTAATTTTTGTGATAATGAACTTGCATTACCTCTCAAAATCATCACCCATATCACCAAAGTAACCTCAATACAAACCAATTAAAATCTCCAAAATGAAACTAAATTTCCCCAATAAAGAAGAGAGAGAGGAGAAACAAATTAAAGTCACCAATATCTCGTGTCTACCTCCTATTAACTTGTGAATTCTTCAACCACTTGTTAGAAGGCACCAAATATAGAAATTTCCAAACTCGAAATTACCCTTACTTTATTCCATATACATACCCAACATATCATCTAAGAGATCATAAAATCATTACATTTCCATTAATTTTGGTCCATTATTATATCATAAAGCACTTCTCTACGTAATTAATCATGCATGAGATTTTTAGTACGGACTACACCTTTGATAAAATGAACTTGGTGTAACTGCAAAAACAAATGTACTCTCTGAAAGACGAGGAACATTATTGAAAGTAATACTAAAAGTTATACACCGAATATTCAAGTTTGATCAATCCACAATTTAGCTGTTTATATCAAATTCAAAACTTTTCAAATAATTTAGACAAACTTGTTAAATAAATTAAATTTTCCAGACATTATAATATGTGAGGTGACCAATGATGAGAGAGGAACATAAATAATTGTGTGATGATTTTTTATGAATCTAATCTAATTGTACAATTACAACTCTAAAAAAATCTACGAGTACATACAAATATATAACCACCAAGCAAAGCTTGGTGTAGTGATAAGGTTTGCATTTTTCAATTATGAGGTTTTGGGATCAAACCCCACTAAAGGCACTTTGGGTGGGGATTCCGATCCCTTACCCTTCCTCCTCATTCCCAAAGTGCCTAACCCGAACCAAGAGGACTTGTGAGATGTTCAGGCCCGGCATGACCCTTCTCCTTACCAATCCCTCCTCCCTAGAAAAAAAAAACCTTCGTACAAGATTGAAAGCGATTACCAATAATGCCCTTGTTCCACGGTCGTAGGGGCACCAAGTCATTTTCTACCCTTTGAGCACATGCCACCTAAAACTTTATACACTTTATTACCAAACATAAATTGTCTCCTCTAACGATCTCATTACCCTATTATTAGAGGCCACATATATTTCAATTTAATCACTGCTCCAACTATAATTGGTAATACCCTTTTATTATGGGGGACCCCCACTTAATTTGACCTCTTGTGGCGCTGACGCGCGTGGGTCCCACGTCACTTTTGTTGTATTGCCTTTTGTTATGAACGCATAATTTAAAACATGCAAAGGGTATTTTCGTCATTTCACTGTTTCCTACTACAAAACTCCATATAAAGCCTGATATAAACGTCTCCAAACAACATGTACAACTTACTAGTAAGTCTAGTGCACCCACCAAAAGTTAACTTACTTTGATTGCTTTGTTACACTCCTTAGATAGCAAGATGGAGCAACCACAATGTAGTGCTGAATTTGATGACCCCGCCACGTCTCCGGACTCGCCAAGTAAACCCCAAGGGACGGGGACTAGGCACCCGGTGTACCGTGGGGTCAGGAAGCGACGTTGGGGTAAATGGGTATCGGAAATCCGAGAGCCTCGGAAAAAGACTCGAATTTGGCTCGGATCATTTCCAATACCCGAGATGGCCGCTCGTGCTTATGACGTAGCGGCCCATTGCTTAAAGGGCTGCAAGGCCCAACTAAATTTCCCTGAGGAAATAGATTTTCTACCACGGCCAACTTCATGTGCCCCTAGGGATATCCAAGCTGCAGCCGCGAAGGCAGCCAACGCGGTGGTGGAGGTGAAAGTGAGTGGATGTGCACCGTCTGATCGTTACGACCTTGATCATCATGATGATGAAGTTGATTATGATGATTTTTGGAGTGAAATTGAACTACCTGAGTTGATGGACACAGATCAAGGAGGAAAGTCCATGGATTGCTATAGTAATGATGCATTATTTGGTGAATTTTATTTTTAGGTAAGTCGGAATATATTTGTATTTTATCATAGTTAAAAATATAATACGCCAATTCTGTGCCATAAGAGGCTCCCATGTTTATAGGAAACAGATGTTACAATAATGTCTGTTGATCCATGTTAAGCCTATATATGCAATGTTTATAATATATTTGCTGTATATAATTCATAATAAAAATAATAATAATGTTAATAGATGTTTTATTCATCTCCTTTTTTTTTTTTCAATTGTATATACTCCGTGTTATATTATATACTTTGTAGTTGATTTTGCATTATTATTATGAAATACTACTGGATTTTTATTCCCTTCTTTATTAATTTCCTAGGAAAATATTTCATTAGGTCACCGTCTTCATTTATAATCCTTCTCAATCACATTAAATATTTTTTCCTATAATTTTAATAGTTAACTTCTCTAATATAAAATATGAGGTACGAATTGAATGTATGTTTAATAAAAATATTTTTTATTAAATATTTTTTCCTATAATTGAATGTACGAATTGAATGTATGTATTTTTTAACTTATCTAAAATGGTCCCTAATAAAAATCTAAAAGTTGGTTAAATGTTCAAAAGTACACTGAAAATATTTTTTTAATTGGTCATCTTTGAGAGCAAGAAGGGCCCTAATCTAAAAAAAGATGTTTCTTTGGTAATGAACATAATGGAACAAAATCTTAAAACTCTTAATGAAACATAATGTTACTTTTAAATGATGGATCACTAAACTTGATTAAATGGATGTATATTGATGAAACAAATTGAAAAGAATATTGTAAAGATTCATGATAATTTATATCAAATTATCAACAGTCGGTCTAATGTTTAGACTATTAATTAAAAGTAATTTATGAAAATAAAAGTAGATTTTAAAATTAAAAGAGAATAAAAAAAAGGGGGACATTAAAAAGGTTAAGGTCTGTTGATGATTTCTCTTAATTCTAATGTAATTAAATTAATTACTTTCTGAGTTTGTTTCAAAAAAAAAAAAAAAAAAAAAAAAAAAGAAATTGCTTTCTGAGTTACAATCAAAGGCTAAGTAAGTGATGAATATAGTGGTAGTTAAGGCTGCTTTTCACTTAATTACTGGTGTTAGTTAGAAATTTAATTAGCATAATCTTTTTGAAGCTGCAATTAGGACTTGACACCCACTTATTCAGTTTGAGTGATTAGAGAAAATGCTTCTTTATTGGTGTGCTTATGTTATTGGTAATCATAGAGTAAGAAGAAAATTGATAGAACAATGTATACTACAAGAGGGGGGGTGAATTGTAGTGTATGTAGACTATGGTAAATTTTGCGGAATTAAATCTACTACTAAGAGAAAAGACACTGAGATAGGCAATGAATAAATTCACTATGTAAAAATGATTTACAATCACTAATACGTTTCCTAGACTCAAGTTCCGTGAGGAACTCAAGTTACCCAACTGTGATCCCTCAATCACAGTTTCTCACACTTTGTGATTCTACTACGAATCACTTGTACAGTGTAAACAACTCTCTCAAGTCTCACACTTTACAACTCTCACAACCCAAACCCAATTACACAATGATTACAAGTATTTCCTAAAGAACTTAAGAGACTAAGGATGGAAGGAACTTCTCTTTTAAACACTTTGAAACTCTATGCTCAGAATACTTAAGATTGATTTTTATCACTTCCTTAAATTAAGGGATATGAAAACTATTTTAAAACTTTCGTTTAAAACTTTCTGAGTCAATCGTCAAGTTCCTTCGGGAACTACAGGTTCCTTCAGGAACTTCGAGTTTCTTCTTAATTCCTTCCATTCCTTCCAACACTTTTGTTTCTTAAGCTCGTACACTGAGTAACTAAGTATATAGAGTTGTGAGGACATCTTGAAAACTTGCATTCATCATCAAGTCTTCCAAACTCTGTTGTTCCTACTCCGGAACATGTATTTGTGTACCTGAATCTTTCTGTTCAACCAAGACTCATAAACATCATTAGTCAGAGTTTGTTTTATGTAAGTCAATCATCAAAATATTAAGGTAGTCAATTCAACAATATCTGCCCAGTTTTTAAATCTTTTTCAAACTGATTAATGCTACTGCTAAAAAACTCCTAGTTTGGGGTTTAGGGCCAGATGAACACACTCATGTTATGGGATGTAAAACAGCAAAAGAAATATGGGATTTACTAGAAATAACCCACGAAGGAACTCATGAAGTTAAACGTTCTAAAATTGATATACTGCTTTCTAAATATGAACGTTTTGAAATGGGTTCAAAAGAAACTATTCAAGAAATGTTTACTCGTTTTAAAAATATTACTAATGAATTAGTTTCTCTTGGTAGAGTTATTCCTATGGATGAACAGGTACGCAAAATTCTAAGGAGTCTTCCTGAAGATGAACGGTGGAGATCCAAAGTGGCAGCTTTGCAGGAATCAAAGGACTTTACAACTTTCAACCTTGAACAACTTGCAGGTTCCTTAATAACTCATGAGCTTCACCTATCAAACAAAAGCCAAGAAAGTTCAAAGAGCCGAGGAATTGCTCTAAAGGTTGTCCAACCAAGTGAAGAGGATTCCGAATCTGGAGAGGAAGAAGCTGCCATGCTAGTCAGGAAGCTAAAAAAGTTGTACCGCAACAAAAGGTTTGGTGACCAAAAGAAAAGGAACTTCAAGAAAAACCAATATTCCAAGGAAAATGGAGGATGCCACAAATGTGGGAACACAGATCACTTCATCAAGGAATGCCCTATTTGGGAATCAGAAAAAGGAAAAGGCAAAATGAAGGAACACGGAAAATCTAATACTCCAAACTTTTCAAAATCTGATTACAGGAAAGCCATGATAGCTGCGTGGGGAGACACAAGTTCCGAGGATGAAGAAGAATCCACGGAAGAAGAGACGGCAAACCTGTGTTTGATGGCTAAACACAGTGAGTCTGCTAAAAAGTTAGAGGAGGTAAATCTCGAACCTAAATTTCTGAAATCCCTGTCAAAAGACAAATTAATTTCCTTGCTCATAGAAACTTTGGATGAATATAAAGAAATATGTCTTAAACTTGGACAAAATGAAAAAGCTCTAGAAATCTATAAGGATCATATGAAATATTTGAATAGTTCAAGAACAGATGTTCAGGGAAGATTCTTTGATTTGCTAGATAGAAACACTATGCTTAAAGAAACACTGGAAAGAGTCAAAAATGAAAATATCATGTTAAATGTTGAATTGACTCAGTATAAATTGTTATGCACTAACATTGATTCTAATAGTGCTCTTCAATTGCCTTTAGTAACCTTTAATGATGATCTTGAAATTTTGAAAAAAGAATTGCAGGTTACTAAAGACAAAAATGAATCCCTTGAAAAGGATTTAGAAAGAGCTAGAAACAACAAAAGTGCAATCCACATGGGAGTTCCAAGGTGGATATCCGAAGCTCAAACTAGAAGGACAGAGGGTTTGGGTTTCAACCACAAAAAGAAGAATAGTGGTAAAAAGAAAAAGTACGTGGAACTCCCTAGTGAGACTGTGTGTTCCTTCTGTGGCAAGTCAGGACACAAAGATACTGATTGCAAAAGAAAGGAACTTAGTCCACTAAAAATATAGCTTATGTATGGCAAAAGAAAAATGCGTTTGCTGTATCAACAAAGGAACCCATGAAAGATGGGGTTCCTGAATCTAACCCTTAGTTTCTTTTGCAGGTCGTAGTGAGGGGGAACAACCAATGGTACCTCGATAGTGGTTGTTCCAAGCACATGACAGGAGATAAATCAAGATTTCTCTCACTGACGGCCTATACAGGAGGAACAGTGACCTTTGGTGATAACAAGAAAGGCAGCATTGTTGTCGTAGGAAAAGTTGGAAGGTCAAGTTCCCAAGCTATTGATAATGTTTTTTTTAGTCGAGGGCCTCAAACACAGCTTATTAAGCATATCACAATTTTGTGATAAAGGAAACTCTGTAAGTTTTGATTCTGAAAAATGTAGTATCATTCAGAATGACACTGGGAAAGTTTTGCTGGAAGGAACTCGGAAAGGAAACACTTATACAGTGGATCTCAATACAGTTCCGAGGAACAACTTAACTTGCCTTAGTGTCATTGAGGATGATCCTTTACTGTGGCATAAACGTTTTGGTCATGCAAGTTTCTCTTTGATTGATAAGTTAAGAACAAGGAACTTGGTAGAGGGACTTCCTTCAATCAAGTTCCTATGTGACAAAATTTGTGACGCTTGTGTGAAAGGAAAGCAGGTCAGGACATCCTTTAAATCCAAGAAGATGGTGAGTTCCACGAAACCCGTAGAGTTAATTCATATGGATTTATGTGGTCCTATGAGAATTCAAAGTAGAAGTGGAAAGAAGTACGTCTTAGTAATTGTTGATGATTATTCTAGATTTACATGGGTTATTTTTATGTCTATTAAGGATGAGACTTTTGACGAGTTTGTTACATTTTCCAGGAGAATTCAAAAGTTCACAGGTCATCAACTGATACACCTTAGATCCGATCATGGCACTGAATTTGAGAATTTTAAATTTGATGATTTATGCAGGGAACAAGGCTTAAGTCATAATTTCTCAGCTCCAAGAACTCCACAGCAAAATGGAGTTGTGGAAAGGAAGAGCAGAACCTTAGAAGACATGGCTCGAACCATGTTAATAGCCAGCGATCTTCCAAGAAACTTCTGGGCAGAAGCCGTGAATACAGCCTGTTATATTATAAATCGTGTCATGCTAAGGCCTATATTGAATAAGACACCCTATGAACTGATGAAAGGCAGAAAACCGAAGATATCTCATCTTAGAGCATTCGGTTGTAAATGTTTTGTACATAATAATGGTAAAAGAAACATAGGGAAATTCGATGAAAGGAGTGATGAAGTCGTATTTCTTGGATATGCTACTAACAGTAAAGCGTATAGAGTTTACAATAAACGTACTATGTGTGTTGAGGAAAGTGTGCATGTTATATTTGATGAAACTAATCCACTTCCATGTACACAGGAACACGAGGACTATGACTTTGAAATTGGTCTAGTACGTTCTCAAGAACAAGAAGAAGATGCAATAATTCCAAATAAACAGCCAACTCGAGTAAATGAAAATCATGAAAATCCGGAGAAGGAACTCGACATACTAACTGAAGTTCCTTCGACAGAACAGCCTCGGATTGAAGAACCTGCCGAGGAACCAATAACACAAGAGGAAATCACTGAAGAAGAAGCAACTGGCTCAGAAAATAAGAATAGTCGAGTTACTATCCAAACCTTCCAGCCCAAACCTTGGAAGCACCAAAAGTCACACCCACTGGACAAAATTATTAGTGACTTATGCAAAGGAACTCAAACTAGATCGCAAATGAGGAACTTCTGTGCCTTCAATGCT